GCCCGTCAGAATTCATATTCTTTTGAATCTTTTCCATAGCAGTTTTTTATTTGCAGTATGGTATCTTGGTATCTGAATTATTTCTTCTGTTGGACTCAACCCCCATCAGTAGCAGCAAAAATAGTAATTAATACCTGAATCCTATGCATTAATACACTGGGTGTCTGTGACCTTCCAAATTTATATGGTTATACTAAGTCTTGCAGTTCTGCCCATGTTGGAGGTCTAAGAGTTTAGGCTAGACGTGGGACAGGTAAGATATAGAAAGGCTACAAAGACAAAGGAAAGATTCTGAGACCATCTTTTACAGGGGTAAACTTAGATACACTATAAGGTCGGTATTATCATCCCATGTTTATATAGGAGCAAACAGAACTGATTTAAGTATCTAGTCCAAAATCATAAGGCCAATAAGTGACAAAACCAGGGATGGTAACAATTTTTGAATCTATTAATTTATTTAGCTCTTGGGGTTAGAGTTATAGCTTAAGTGGTAGAGCACCAGCCAGGGAATGAAAATGTTGGATACCGAGTTTGAGTCCCAGTCTTATACAAAAAAAAAAAAATCATTTTTGTTTTCTTTTTTTGGGTGGGGGGGGAGGGTCAGTAGTAGGGCTTGAACTCTGGCCCTAGGAGCTGTCCCTGAGCTCTTCAGCTTAAGGCAAGCACTCTATCCACTTGAGCCACAGTGCGCTTCCAGTTTTCTGAGTGGTTTAATGGAAATAAGAGTCTCACAGCCTTGCCTGCTGGAGCTGGCTTTAAACCACAATCCTCAGATCTCAACTTCCTGAGTAGCTAGGATTACAGGTGTGAGCCACCACACCTAGCTAGAAAAAATAAATTTATTTAGCTCTTGACATAGGCCAAACCCTGTTTTTGACCATAGATATCAATGATGAACAAAAACACAATCCACGCCCTCCTTGTACTTAAAGACAAGTGAAGAGAATAGATAATGCCATAACACCAAAAAGACAGCTGCAAGTTCATAAGAAGATGAACTAGGGGCTGGGAAGTTGGCTCAGTGGTAGAGTACTTGCCTAGCATGCATGAGACCCTGGGTTTGATTCCTCAGCACCACATAAGCAGAAAAGCAGGAAATGGTGCTGTGGCTCAAGTGGTAGAGCAGTAGCCTTGAGCTGAAGAGCTGAGGGTCAGTGCCCAGCCCAGAGTTCAGACCCCATGATCGGACCCAAAAAAAAAAAAAGATGAACTAGAACTTTAACCTTGTTAAAGGCTTTTGCAAGTAATTAGTTAAGATTCAGAGATTTTTAAATTATATTAAATTTGTTTTTATTTAAAATATATTTTTCTAATATTGCATAACAAGCAGAAAGCTATGATTGTGTGTGTGTGTGTGCGTGCGTGTGCGTGCGTGCGTGCGTGCGTGCGTGCGTGTGTGTGTACATACCAGTTCTAGGGCTTGAACTCAAGACCTGAGTGCTGACCCTGAGCTTTTATGTTTTGTTTTGTGTGGGTCCTAGGGCTTGAACTCAGAGCATAAGCCCTGTCCCTGTACTTTTTTGCTCAAAGCTAGTGCTCTACCAGATTGAGCCACAGTACCACTTCCTGTTTTCTGGTGATTAATTGGTTAAAGTCTCATGGACTTTACTTCCTAGTCTGGCTTTGAACTGTGATCCTCAAATCTCAGCCTCCTGAGTAGCTATGATTATAGGCATGGGGCAGGACATCCAGCAAAATTAATTTTTAAACATTGACTTTTGTTTTACTCTCCCCAATGGCCCTCACTACCAATCCTCAGTGGGGACAATAAGAATGGTACCAGGGGAGATATTTACAGAAGATTCCAGTAAGGACAAAAAGTGTGTGTCCTGGGGCTGGGAAGGTGGCTCAGTGGTGGAGTGCTTGCCTTGCATGCATGAGGCCCTGGGTTCGATTCCTCAGCACCACATAAGAAAAAAGAAAAAAGCC